CTCAACTAAGCGAAATCGTCCGACAAAATATATATTTTTCTGAATGCATAGATTCTACCCGATCGACTGGTGTGAAGAAATTCTTATGTTACAGGTAAAAGCTGAGGTTACGGTAGGTTTGATTGTGGCATTCTCATAGGCTTGAGATAATATGAGTGATATACCTATATCTGCTCAAGTAAGCAAAATCGATCGGTGGGATATATATTTTTTGAGTCCGGAGATTGTGTTGTATCGAGTGGTGTAAATATTGTTATATGGTACTGGGCAAACTTGCGAGTACGGTAAGCCCGATGAGAGCAGCTCCATAGCCTTGAGATAGTATTAAGAAATTACCTATATCTCATCAAGTAGTCCAAATCGCTCGGTAAGATACATGAGATTCTGAAAGCAGTGGATCCGCTAGATTGATTCGTGTAATGAAAATCACATGTTTCGGGTTAACTTGAGAATACAATTAGCTCGAGGAAGGCAATCAGCATATTTCTATATGAAATTATTCATTGATCTATAATGGCGAATATATATAAATGAGCGGGACTGCGCTATTTGAGATAGATCTATGAAAATAGCTATATCTTCTCGAGAGATCAATTTTGCTCGGCAAAGTAGTGATATTCTGAAAATTGTGATTGTGAGCAGTCGAATGGTGTATCGATGTTTACATTTTACCGTGTAAACCTGAGGGTACGGTTACCTTGAAAATGGTTACCACTTTAGAGCTATTGTAACGTATTGATATTTTTCTATAGCGATTGAATGGGTGTGAATGAGCGCCTTTCCGCTTGTTATTGAGAAAGGTTTATGAAAATTGCCATATCTCCTCATTTAAGCGGTATTGCTCATCAGCATATATGCTGTTCTGAATCAAGAGGTTCTGTGAAATCGAAAGGTGTCGAGAAATTGATATGTCGCTGGGCAAACTTAAGAATGCCGTTATTTTGAAGATGTTAACCCCTATAATGCTATCGGAATATATTGATTGATCATTGGTGATGCGCTGCTGAGGACGTGGAATGTATTCAGAAAACTCGCCATATCTCTGAATATAAGCAAAATCGTCCGACAATTTATGTACTTTCCTGAATGCAGAGTACCTGCTGAATCGACTGGTGTGATGAAGCGAGCATGTTGCTTTGCAAACCTGAGATGAGCAAGAATTCATAGGTCACTTGGACAGGATCTGATACTGGTGATTGTTAGCTAATGTTCACGACATCCAACAGAGATACACTATATTGAAATAAGCGTTGCCGAGCACCTCAGATACCTTCAGAAATTCAGCTGTTTCTGTGGAGGTAGGCATAATTGTCAGACAAATTGTACATTTTCATGAAACTAGAGAATCTGGCGAACCTCACAATGTAGAGTAACTCTCTTGATATTGGGCAAACCTAGGAATACCGATTTTACGATGATGGTAACCCTCATCCTTCCGTGGTTGTGAATGCATTGATCAATAGAGATATAGTATATTGAAATAAGTGATGCCGAGTAAGTGATATAACTTTAGAAAATCAGCTATTTCTCTGAATCAGATAAGTGTATGTTAAAGATGAAATTTGTTGATCTTTAGCATACATTTATCTCAGAAATGTTCCGTGGTCTTGTAAATGATATTCTGCATCAATTTCGAGTGTGATTCGAATGACAAGGATTTGAGATTTGGTTAATGATACTTTCCATTTATTGGATCATTGAAATGTTTGCATCTGGTTAATGCGTGTGTACGAAGAACATCAGAGAAGAATCATTGACGACTGTCGAATGCAGGTGCTGTACGGCAAACGTTGACCAGATTCATCAGCAAAACAACGGCATATGATGTACTGGCAAAAAAATAGATTTTATAACTTGTGACGCATCATGATTCCCTTAGGTTATATAATTATTATGCCCGCTGCATGATCACGTGTTGAAATAGTTTTATACCTTAGCAGTACTAAACGCTTTCATTTCGGATTAAGAGTTCAATTATGATTTTTGTGAGTAACCATCAATTAATTTAGTATCATTCATATCATGTTGAGTACGAATCACATGCATTAATATCATTCAAATGGAATGCCTGCTTAACTTGGTCAGGTGCCTGTTCACGCTTAACTTATCTTCATAAACAACCTAACTGCCCGTATGGATACCAGTTCTGTAGCAGTAAGTAGACAACTCTACAAAGCTTGTGTTCAAAGAAATTTATTTCATTGATAATGATTACAATCTGTAAACGATCCTCAAGCAAATGAGTGAATGATATGTGCACTGTTGAGCAAAATTCAAGGGTTTTTAATGGGTAATACCATCGTGGGCACAGTTGTCTCACTATTTGCACTGAGATAAACGAATTATTTCGTAATTAAGTAGATTTTCACATACCCTCTTGGTTTCTAGAGATCTAATATTGAAAACATTATGGATTATACGATTACTGATCAGTTAAGTACGGGAAATTAATGTCAACTGGGCAAAACAAAACTGTATGAGAAGTTCAATTTTTGATAAAAGTTGCAATTGCGATGATTTCATCACTTCGCTTATTTCAATTTTCGATAATTTTTGCTGATCTTCTCAAAAATAGCTTATAAAAATGGAGTGGACTCAGCGAGTAACGTAGTACTTGGTAAAAACAATCAAAATTGCGCTTTCCTTAATGTTACTAGAATTGCGATTGTGCAAAACTTAATTGCGGTACGTTATTTAATAGTAATAACCCGTCATTGGAAACAGATTTAAGTGTTTTGCAATCAGAATAAAAACAGTATAAACTGACAACAAGTCGCTTCGACTTCAAACACTGAACACTGAAAAAGAGTATCTTGCAAATAAAACAAGAAATTGAAACAATATCGCGACATACTTCTCATGCCGTTTCTCGACAGTTGAATACAGTTGTATCGAATAACAACAAACAAACAAAAACAACAGTAACCAGTAACCGTAATACAACAACGATCATAATCATAACAATATTAACATTAATAATCGTACTAATAATGACTAAAGCAAAAACAGTAATCAATTATCAATCACGTTCTCGACACAGCAGCCTTTTCTTTCTCCTCCTTCAGCTTTCGAAGATATCTCAACGCCCTTTTGGCCGCCGTACATTTGGCAATACGATAGCTACGACCCATACCGGTGAACCGGCATTTATCTTTTATATCAACCGTTACGCGCACTTTACCCGTTTCCAGAATTCGTTCAAGTTTCCTGGAAAAGAAAGGAAGACGAGTACATAATGCAATATCCAATCACTCCTTAGCATCAAACGTTTTCAATTGATCAACACGGAATACACGTATATCAACCGAAAGATACACTGATCGGTGTTTTTGAAAATTACTTTTCAGAACTGTTGAAATTTCACTGCATCAAAGCAGAAATAAACTGATTTGTAACACAACGAGCTTGACGACCCGCAATTGTATGATTGAAATGTGCATTTTTTGCCAAAGTTTCAGTTTTGAAAATGTAAGTGTATCATTTTGTCATGTTATAAAAGCATGAGAAAATTATCAAAATATTTCTCACAATACATCATCGCAACAAAATACTTCTGTACATTATTGGATATTACTTATTGTCAGACAATTCTGAAATTTCAAAAAAAAGGAATATAAAAATCCGTAAANCACAATTCTAATAATGGTAACATTCAACATTCACCAAAATAATATGCACATGTAGCCATATCCATTAGAAAACCTATAAAAAGAGCACCAAATGTGTCATGACAATACAAAACGATTCTAACCAAGTAAACGGCACCCGCCACCGACTCGAAGATATCGCCCATTGCTTTCGGCACTTCGATGTCCTCCTCTTCACCCTCATCAATTTCTTCTTCGGTTGTTACCATGTACATCTTTAACGGAGTTTATAAATGTTATCAATCGAGCTCATCAAACTTCGCAAACAATAATACGAATAAACGATCTGGCGATTTTTTAAAACTAGTCGCTAAGAAATAAACTTTTATGCTCCAAATGATAGTGCAATTCATTCAGTTCATTTACTATTCAATACCAAAAATACGCCAATTCAAGCAACTCAGTCTAACGTCGAGCCAACGACCTGCCATTCGTATCTGTGAAACAAGCTGTGAAATGAGATGATGGTGGATATCATTTGACTATCAGTTTTGTAAAGTAAATAAATGGACGTATTTATGAATTTAACAATATTTCAGTCACAAAGGAGCGAAAACGAAACAAAAAGCTCTCTTACTTCAGCGTTGAAATTCGCTCCCGAGAAATTCTTCTCAGTACACAGACGGACGAATTTCTCGATCATATGATGGAGACCCGGACACATCGCAACGAAATGCTAAAAACTTTCGAATGTTTGAAAATCAATTTTAAATGACTGAGTTAATAATAATAACATTAAGTCGAAGTGAATGAATTAAAATGAACGAATTGAGTGATTGATTGAAGATTTGTAATCACAAAACTGTTAAGCTAGGATGGTTTAGAGCAGAACAGAGTTGCAGCAATCAAAAAAGAGAACGATACGGAATGACAATAATGAAAACCTTATGGAAATCGTATTTAACAGCAAGTGAGGCGAATATTGTGTTGTTGACAAGTGCAGAACGTAAATCTGTTAGTACACCAGGACTGTATTGACGGGGATGTTGAAAGAGAAATCGCGTTATTACATAGTCCAACACCGCATCACCGAGAAATTCCAATCGCTTAAACAATTCATTATTAGAGCTCTGTTATCATTATCATTGCTGTCATTATTATCATTCTTACTATGAAGTTTATCATTATTATCGAATAATTCAAACGATTCGAAAAATTTTCCTATCACTCTAATCACCGAAAATGGTAGCCAATCGATATCCACTGGTGGACACTTATAAATTAAAGAATTGCTGCAAAAATTCATCAAGTTCTCAAAATAATATCAGCAAAGTGAGAAAAAAGTCGTTTTCCACTAAGATAGTTCCTTTGAAGCACTACATCATAATAAGATAATTTAGTTTTCGAAATACATGACCTGGATTTCGAAAAGAGATGCAAAAAAAGAAATCATGGTGTGTTTGAAATGAACAATACCTGATAACACCCGGTGATACGATTCTTGTAGTAGGATGCATGCGTAAACGCTTGTAGCAAATAAGCTCGCTCTCGAAAACGGTAGCCAATCGACTCTTCCAGTTTTGAGAATTGAAACTGCACCCAAAACTCTTTCAACTTACAAGAGGACAGTTCTGGCTGAAAATTACTCAAAGATATAATGTGAAACGTTCACTTCTGAAATTTATTATTCTGAGGGTCAAAAGCAAAAAATGGCATTTCATTAAATATGTGTAAGAGATTTGTAAAATGAATTGCTTTGTTCACAATACAACTTTCAAAGAGAATCAGTCTCCTTGACGGTGAAATCTGCTCAAACACTTCAGTATTACACGTTGATTCGAACAAAAAATTTCCACATTTCAAATGAAAATATTTCGAAGAAAATAGAGATTGTAATAGCCCACCTCTTGTGGTGTATCGATGAATCTGAGCAGAGGTGCTTCAAGTTCTATTGGCTGAGTGAGCACCTTGAGACCCATCCACTTCATGAATTTGAGAGTGGCCGATGGGCCAAGTTCGAGTAAATGCGCTCCAATCAGTGCCTCGACAGCATCAGCAATTGATTTATCGCTGAGATTTTGCTGTGTTAGCATGTTATAGGGCAATGGCGATATCTCCTCTGCACCATCCCATGTTGATTTTACATCCTTTAACAAACAATTGATACTAACAAAGAATATGAAATGAACTTTTCCAAGTGAATCAATTTGAAGTTAAACTCTAAAGAAAACGAAACTTCAATATCAACTATCATAAAGATACATTCATCTTTCGATGGAATTCATAAGGGGTCTTGCAAATGTTCGACTTTTTAATAACTCCTGAATACCTCTACTTTCGAACGCACTCAATCGTTTCTAAAACTCATTTGGAGTGTCTCAAGCTCACAGGCCCTGATCGAAACTCATTTCCCATACAGTGTTTAGTTGCCACCATTCGTGGACGATTTTTCAGTTCCGATATAAAATCGGTTAAAATTTACAAACACTTTAACTGGGCAGCACTTACTCGAGGGAAGTTGATTGTCTCGATACCATCAGCAATTTTCCTCACTTCACTATTCGAATCAACTTCATCCCATCCCGTTCGAACTTTCACCTTAAAATTTCAAAACCTTCAATCGCACATAATCACCGAAACATTACGTACGAGAGCAACGAATGTAATTTCGAAAAAATTTCGTCCGTTTGCGTCGACAACTTCTTCACGTATATCTAATAAAGAACGTACAGTTTGTTCAACGGCCGCATTCCCTTCCAAGACGTTCTCCATGATTTTATCGCACTCTTCGGCATCACTCGAATTCGGCGCTTTGAAATCGCATGTGGGTGCATAGCTGAAATTTGTACTTAGAGAAAATGATAAATCAACTTTCGAACAAAGTTCAGCATTTCCCTTAGAATTTCCACATTCGCTACCAGATTTCCGCTAAACAAAAGATCAGCAGCTAAAAATAGTCCCCGTTCAAAAACCAACCATGGTGGTAGCCAACTGTCGTTTGGGTCAAATTTTGCACCAACAATCAACGACGGCAAATTTCGTTTCTTGCCCAGTCGATACAAATTACAATTGGAAACCTGGAAATGAAACGATTTTTTTTGAAGAACACACAGAAAATAAAATGAGAATCAATCCACTGAGCAACGATGAATTACAACTGTCTTCTATTTGTAAGAATTTCCCCATATTCGGACAATACTTCACAAATTTCCACAAACAAACTACTGAAAATGTTCGCTCAAACCACAATTAATCGCCAAACCTCCAATGAAATGTTACCACAAAAAACTACACTTCACAACATATCGCCTTGCATAACTTTCATACCAGAATGTAACATAAAGATTGCATTTGCCATCCACCTTTACAGTTCTCCCAATATCCGTTAAAACAACAGATTGAACGCAAATGAATTACGATGTCAAATAAATGCGACTGATTTGAAGGTATACATATAATACCTCTTTACTCCTCGCAAAACTCAGTTTTCCTTCATGTTGCTCTGGATTCTTGTGGAACAGATAATCCGTGACAGCGTATTTCAGAAAAGAATCGCCGACAGTTTCGAAACGTTCCAAATTTATACCATCAGATGCATTCGATAATGTTAAAGCCTGCAAATTTACCATCAAACGACTATACTACCGACAATGTATGAATAAACGCTGAGTTTGTGAATAAACTCCAACAGAATTCTTTGAACCCTTTAGTAAAAGATTTTTTTCAAAATATCAAAATGTTCAATTATTTGTCACGAATAATCAGCGTTTCATGCTGATCACTCACAGCATATGACTTATCCAGTTTTATTCTAGCCGAAATATTAAAAAATAAAACATCAAAAAGAAATAAAAAATGAAAAGAGTGTATTTTGTTCACTTGTAAGAGAGTACATGGCGATACACCATACGGATGTTCTGCGAGACTGTCTTTTTCGAACGAAAATGTCATCCACTCCAGTTTCGGTGCCATGATCACCTATAAGCAAACAATTTTCACATCCTACCAACGAACATCCAATTTAAGTTACAAAGCTGTTCTAAAGCTGAATATCAGCCGAACTTCCTCTGCGGAATGAATGTTCCAAATCTAAACTGAGCGATTGACGAAACCAATGAGTTTGTAATGCAATTCAACCTGTCGTGATGTTTCATTGCCATTCGAAAGTGTTTCTCGTCGCTGTTCATCATCTTGTAACGCCTCCTTTAAAATATCTGCATCACTGTCAAAACGTTTCACCATTCCACCATTCTGTAAAAACAAACGCCTTTGACGGATTTACGAAATTTATGGAAAATCACTCGCACCGACGATCAATTGTTATTGCAATGAATCTCTAATAAATGTGAATGAACTCTCAATAATCCTATAATTTACATCATCTCCACGACAGAAATGATTCGACACAAAATTCATGGTAACATTAAAGTAATTAAGAAACGAACCGTTTGTTTGTCAGTTCCATTCATTGACTTCAACTGATCTGCGTTGTCGATGAATTTATCGAGTGGTAATTGAACGGGGACAAGCACACTACGGTTATGCGTTGACTCGCCAAGATCTTCATCCAACAGATACCTCTCTTTTAGCGAGAACGGCAACGGAGGTAATCGCGCTGAAATAAAAAAAAANAAAAAAAAATGTAACTAAGAGATCACTCATTGAAATTACACAATACTTGCTATACTTAACATGAAAATTGACGGGATCATTCGCGACTATTCAAAATCACTCGTATAAATTATAATTCTCTCTGCGGGTTGCATCAATCAGAAAGGAATTTTATACATGTAAACAACCAAAAACAATAAACGATTTCAGTTTAAACGTACTTTAAAGAATGAACAAAATGAATTGATTATTATCAACATATGAATGAACACAACATCAGTGAACATCCCCTCACCGAGAATCAATCCTGCGTTCTCAAAGCAATAAACTTCTGTGTAATAAACGCGACAAAAACGAAATGAAACAGTTTCGAAGGGAACAAACTTTCGCTCAATTCATCATCATCATCCAGAAACTGTATCAAGTCCACACTTTCCTCATTTCGCCCCTCTTTCAGCATTCGTCGATCCGTATCCTCCAATTGTTCCAATGAGTCCAAATAGATTTGGATTGGCTGAAAAGTAATTTTGTGGAATCAAATCGCTGAGAAAAGAAACACGAAACAAGATGCCATTCTTGTCACTAATCAAAAATGAACAAAAAATTTATCACTGAAAAACAAAACCTCATTCTCTACTCTATCCGCATAGGAATTGTACCGAAAAAAAAGCAAAACATAAAAATGGAACCAATCAAAGAAAATTTTAGTTGAAACGTGAACATATCATTCGGAATTACACACACAAACGCAGTTTCTCTTCTTAACAACAAATGTGATCACGGAAATTGAATTCATTCAACAAAGCTATCAAATGTGACCTGTTTACGTTGTTCCGCGGCTTTAAAACTACTCGAAGTTGATTTTTTGGTTTGCNTCAACACTGTTCAACGTAAATAACTTCTCACAAAAAACCAAAAAATAAAAGAAACCAGAAAAAATTCCGATTAAAAACAACCAACCAAAGGTATATTCACATCATTCGGCAGCACCTCCTCATGCACCTCCACATCATCCCATCCAGCCGATTCGATGATATTTTCACGTGGAGCAAACAGATCGGCTTTCTCTTCTGTCAACACAACACTATCAAACAATAGAAACAACAAAACATAGTCATAAATCAAAAATAATCAAACTTCTAACGAACGATATCGCTATCACAAGGTCGCATCAACTCAATGAAAATATGAAATCGCCACGAATAAACCAACTTACTCCCGAGAGTATTCATGAAGTCAAACAGCACCACAGCGTCTTCCTCTTCATCATCGGACATATCGCCATGATGCCTCAGCATTGATCCATTTGAGAGTAGTCCCACTGTATCCTGAAGAATCGCATTCCGAGTTAAGAGAAAAATTCTTGAATGCAAACAAAAATTATTACAGAAACAATCGTAAAACCAATCGATCTTACAACTAATCGAATCAAAACGATTAATTGCTTAGCACATCAACAAGAGCTCTGGGTTTACTATTGGTACAATCATGTACTTGTTTTTTTTAAACAAATGAACACAACTTATCGAAATATTAGATTAAAAAATAACGGACCTCATGATCATCCATATTCGCCACATCCTGTTTAGAATGTTCCGGTTCCAACGGTTCTAAACCACGTCCCAGTTCAGGATCCCACACACCGATTTCGAAATAATTCTGAAACTCCAACATTAATCATACTAACAATCAATTTCATACATATATCTGTGAATAATAAGTCAATAGAAATAAAAAAATCGCGCACTTAAAATGTTAAAAAAAAGTGGGAAGAACACGAAAAAGATTTCAAACTGATTGAAAAAAAANAAAAAAAACCTCTTCACATTCAGTATCGTTCGTCTTCGGTTCCAGTTCCTTTGCACGCGCAACCCGTTCATCACTGCAACACAACTTTTCACTATTCACTATTGTTCCAAATCGCTCGAAAATTATCCAAAATCCTAGCTAGCATTAAAACATTAAAAAACTGCATAGGCAAAGTATGTTTCAAAAAGCCATCAAGAAGATTTTTGATAAGTTTTCACTAAAATTACCCTACAAACACCAAAGAAAAAGTGATTTTTAGTCAGATATATCAAAAAACGCAGTTCAATACGGCTATCAACGAACTATTCCTTGCGAAGATGTTGTATTTTCTGCACGGGTTTTATGTCGACATCATCCATCGGTGTCGGATAGTCGAGTGCCGGCCAGACATGCCCATCAGGCACTTTACCATCCATATTCAACGCTTCATTCACAATCGTCTCACGTAACTCATCCGCTAACAATAAACTATTGATTCTGAAAAAAACAACAATGCACGATTGTGATGAAGCCCTAATTATTTGAAAAGTTAACCAGAAATATAAACTTTGTACACAGTTGAAACACATAAACACACATAAAATCTTATTCGATTCCTTGTCGGTTACAATCTTATATTTCATATGATTTTAGTGATGAGAACCAAACAGAAGATATTCGTTCTCAAGCCGAGAAAACAGAAAAATTTCATGTCACTATACACGAATACTATCCATATGAAGGGTGAAAACCATACCATTCACCGTTTCAAAATGTTAGGCAATCAATCGAGAAATGAAGACAAGAAGAGAATCCAATCACTGAAAGTCGTATTCCTTACCGATAAAGTAGTGTTGGTAGAGCGGCAATCACGTTCCAAAGAGACGCAGCAATGGGATGCACGTCAACCAGTTCGGGAACAAGGATTTGACCCTGCGAGCTGGTCTCGCCTGGCTTACGCTCCTCTTGCACACGAGCTCTCGATCGATTCGTATGACGAGGCATCAGTAAATTCAATCGGCTAAAAATTTTTGCCACCTTTCAAAATCATAATATATCGCACACAATCTCTCTCAACCTTCAACGCTTTTTGTACAACAACAACAACAATACTCTGAGGTAAAACAACTTGCGATTTCTACATTCCAACCAGAAAACACTTTNAAAGATATTACAAATGAATCACAAATGCAAATTCCAGCGCTCAGTCACAAAGGGCTTTCAAAACGTAAGAGACATAAGCATTGAGTGAATGATGATCTGATGCCAAATGATCACCTAGAAGTGTAGTCGACATCCAAAAGTGGCTGTGTCTGATCGTAGATTTCGATGCTATATTTCTGGATGAAATATTCGTTGAAATTCGAGAATTTCTCATCAGGGAATTTCGAACCTGGATTGGCGTCGATAATCTGAACGAAAAAGCCAAAATTCTTGCTTCATGTTCGTTTACAATACACTAAGTTTGATCGAACATAGAATTATAAGTGATTAAAAGAGAATAAAATAAAAAATTTAAAGTAAGCGCTGTGCAAGTAAACAAAATCAATCGAATGAAGAGTTCAAAATTAGAATGCAAAGCAAATTAGAATTTGTTCGATGCTGGAATGAAGGAAACATAAATATAAACGAACGAACCTCAGCCACATAATAGAACGATGGATGCTCCTTGTCACGATACCACGGCATAACAACGGCATCAGTGAATTTGGACGCATCAAACTTAAAATTTCGTCGTTCCTCTTCGCTCGGTACACGAGGCATGTCTTGGATTGACGATACAACGTTACGAACGTATGTATAGTCCAGTTTGAAATCAATCTGATTCAGCAATTCGTTTCGTTCTGAAACATTCCAATTTAACACCATCACATCATTTCATAAAGACGACACAGCAAAAACTGAACAAACAAAAATTGCCGAGACCCATACAAATCGTCGCCGTCTCTCTGCACAAACATAATTCCCACTGAAGTCACACATAAATAACTTTCCTTAAGTTCATAACCTATTCGATTTGATTACCACAGAAAACTGAACAGCTAT